GATTGGACCCAGAACTATCACCAATCATGATAAATAGATGTTCCCTCATGTAGGCCCTGTACCTTGAGTGGCTGTTGGGACTTAAACTCAACCCAGATTTCATGTGAAACTTGTACATATAATCCATCACTAAAAAGTCTGGAAAATCACTAAAGATTCTGGAAAAATGGTTGGTTCCATGTACTGCTCCAGAAATGTACCTGACTTCTTCAGCTATCCTATACCTTTACAAGAATCAGATCAAGCTGAAAATGGAGTACTGTTGCCATATATTGGCAGAAGCAGCCCAGTTTTCATTTTTCAGTCTTGATAGAGTCCAAAAGTGTCTCTGTGTTCATGTGGCTGATTAATTATTTCCAACTCTACAACCTCTTTCTCACAGATGAAACATCACAAACATCTTGCCGCTCTGACACTATTACCATGGAAAGTGCTCAGATGAGCTGCATTCTTTAGTTCCACCAGTTCTGATCTTCATGGGTAAGACATTTCATACTACAAACATTGTAGCAAACCACCCCACTCCCTTTGCATTCCATTGGTGAGATGTAAGTTTCATTTGAACAGGTTCTTCACATGAACTCTTGCTTTGTGAAACTGATTCCCATGAGGACGCTTCCCCAATCATTACAACCTTAACCTGTTCAAGTCTAGGTTCAATAATTATCTTTTCCATATAAACTGTGCCTCTTATTATGTAACCCTCTACCTAGAGTAAAAAGTTAAAAAAAAATGATAAATAGTAAGAAACCCTAAAATAAGTGACTTTTAGAAAAAAAGGACAATGTTTTTAGAGATCATATGGCCCAAAAGATTTGTTCTAAAATGACAATATGCCTATAAAATATCAAATATAAAGAAATTATTCAATTTGCCAAGACCAAAATTTCATCACAAGACAAATCAGGAATAACAGATTAAGGAACAGCATCAGAATGATTAGAAAGCAACCATCCTCCACTCAGGAAACTTAGTTAAACCAAATAGCATAAAAGATAATACTGATTCAAACAGAACCAGTTTTCCTTCTCCCCAGTTAAAACCAGAATGTAGAATTGAATATGCACACTAAATCTAAGCAAAACTTAGTTTATAAATAAGGTAAACTGAAGACTTCATTCCCCATCTTGCAAAAACTATTTTAGATTTCTGAGAATAAGTATCAATTCTCTATAGTTCATATGTCTTCTAAGAGAAAATCAAAATGTTACTGTTCTTATTTAAGTTTTACTCCATTTTCTGCAAATTTGGTTTAAAAAAATCCTTTAAGATGACAGTAACACCAGGCTTAGTATTTAAGTGGTAGTCTCTCTTAATGGACATTACTCTTTTCATGTAATTCAAATTCTAGCTATACTTAAACCTCATTGTTGGCAGAACTCATTGCTGAGTAATTGTCATACCTGATGTATCTGTTCTATTGTTAATAGACTCTCCCACACATAATAAGTAGTAGTAGTAGTAGTAGTAGTAGCGGTCGCCAGTCGAGCTCAGTGGTGTTGAGCAAGTCAGACGATATTGGACATTGAAGTACCAACAATCACAACTAGATTGCTGCGTCATTAACTCTTATTTCCAAGTTCCTGACGTTTTGTACGTCGAACCTAATTTAGGACAACTTATTGAAATACAAGCCTCCACTGTGAAAACTACTCTACAACAGTAATGCTCATCAATATTTCCTTCTGTGTGAAATGAGTCTGGCGTCTGGCACACCCATCAAAGTCTGTAGCAAGTCATGATGGTTCCTAGGCTCTCCATCTTTGTGCAGATGAGAACTTTATTGTTTGTGATCCATTCCTGCCACATATTCTGCAGAATTTGACAAAGTTTCATTTAATAGAATCTTCTCAAGTTTGCAGATGTCTTTTCAGTAGAGTACTCAGGTCTTACAGGTGTAGAGGAGATTCAATATTACAACAGTTCAGTAAAGCCTATCTTTGATGGTTTGTGTTAGCCCAGGATTGCTAAAGCCTCTTTTGCTTTCTGTATGCTGTGTGGGTGGCCTTGATTTGATTGCTTAAACCTACAATAGATATACATTTGGTGGAGTTGTCCAAAAAGCAGTGCAATCAGAAATTGTAATTATTTCTCAAAAATTATCTTTTCATATTACTATAGATTAAAAACTCCAGATCATGAATATCAAAAAACTTTTTGTTTATTAAATTTTATAAAAGTTGATAGGGAGTGCAGTTTGATATATAAATCCATTGATTGTAAATTGATTCTCCTTTGAAAGCTAAAACAAAACATGATCATACTAGTAATTTCTTAAAATGTAAAAAATTTTTTCTAAATTTTATAAAAATCTTTTTTTAAATTTTAAGAATTTTAGAAAACTTTAAAATTTTATAATTATAAAATTTTATAAAATTATATTTTATAAAATTTCATAAAAATTTTTTTAATAAAAGTTTATAGGAGTGCAGTTTGATAAACTGATCTCTATGAGAGCCAAAACAAAATTATTTTTTTAAAATGTAAAAAAAAAAAAATTTTAAAATTTGGGATTTGTTATGTGGAATTTTTTTTCATATATTACTATCAAATAAACACCCTAGATTACAAATTTAAAATAAAATTCTTATTTTTAAAATGTTAAGAAGTCATGTTATTATGAAAATATTTATATTTTGGTTCCTGTAGTGGTTACAATGAATTTACATAGCAAAATGGACCCCTAATAAATTTCATAAAATTTGATTAAAACAAAAAAAGCATTAGTATTCCTGATCTAGACTGTTAAATCTATTGTAACATAAAAAAAAAGAAAATAATAATTCTTTCTGATCTCAGTGACTTTTGTACAATTCCAACATAATTTCATATGTACATGAAAATATAATTTAATTTCTATTGTTGCTGTGAAAACAACAGCTGTGTTAATAACAAAAGCTTTATCAGATGATGACCCTGGAATTAAACATAGTTTCAGAGCAGAAACATCATAACAAAAATATTTTTCATCTATATTACGTACCAGCTGATCCATCAAACCTAAATATGTATCAATACACTCTTATCATTAACAAGTTGGAATCTACAGAAGAGAGAGATGTAAATGAAAAGAAACACTAATAATGCTAAAACACTAACCTGGGAAACATAACATTAATATTTCTGTCATATAAAGCAGCCAAAGAAAAATGAATGGATGTATTTATTTTGTGATTTCTTACTTTATGTTCAACTGAACTGCTAGCTTGCTTTTTATATACAGTGATTTTTTTTTTTTTGCAATAGGTAAAATGTCTTTGTAATTTATTTATAGCAAGCTTAAATATACTAACAATTTTTTCTTGAACATGCTCTGCAGAAATAAATAGAATATTATTTGGTATAAATTTTCAGCTTTTTTTTAAAGTTTAGGCACAAATTACTGGATTTATTTTATTCTCCATTCTCAAAATATTATTTTCTTTAATTCAGATGTATGATCATGACTGTAGGGTTTAACTGACACTTTTCTTTCTACATACTTCTAAATAGAAAGATTGTTCAATGTTTAAAAGTGTAATTTTTTTTACAATACACTTTAATAATTTATACTAAAAATGAATTTTATTTTCATTAATGTATCTGTATGAAAAAATATCTTCATAAACATTTCAAGCTGGTTTCTAATAGAATTAATGTTGCAAAGTATATAAATTAAATACTTAAAATATATTCAGTAAAATTTTAGTTTAAAAAGTATTCAATTGAAGTTATTACTTTATAAGACTAGAAGAGATGTCACTCATAAACATTAACATTTAAAGGCTGTAATGTTAAATTATTTAAACTTTTCTGTTGTGGCTAACTTCAATGTATTGATTGGAGCTATTTCAAAACAGCAATTACCAAGAATAGAGAAGTTTCATTTGATTTGAATGAGTATGAAAAAATCTTTTTTCACATATCACTTGTGATGAAAAATGAAATTTTTATAGTCACTGGAGGTCTGACAACAATTAACTGTAGATGAGATGATAAAACTGCAACTGAAACCACATTCTTATCATCATCCTTAGAAAGTTTATGATAAGCCTTCAGTTGTTAAATACACAATATATGCCTTCATAGTTGGGTAAACAGTTAGCTTGATGAATAGGAAAAGTGACATTTTATTACATAATAGTATTCATGCTTATGTTACATGTTGGTTTCAAACCAGTGAGAATGCCTGCAAAACACTTTTCTCCTCCCCTTTTTATAGGCAGAAGCACAAGAATGCAAAGCTAGGATTTCTTTCTAGCCAATAAAATAGGCCAGTTCTCGGTTTCATCTGACTCAGTCCTGGCCTGTCTTTTCTTGAAGTTAGAACACTACGTTCATTTGTCCAAACTTGCTTTTGGGTGTCAACTCTAATTTATTAGTTTGTTAACTTTTTGCCATATTACTGTTGCTTTACCTTATTACTGTTAATTTGCCTTGCATATATTGTTTGCTTACTTTATTTTTTGTCCTGTTCTTTTCTTTTTATTGCTTATTACAAACTTTGTCAATTCTGTTTGTTGAACAGTTATGTTACTTATTTTGCATTTGACCATGGCTACTCACTCCACATTATAAAAAAGATGTAATCCAAGTTGGATACCTTGAAGATAAATAATGTTGCTTCTTGCCTCTTCACCTGATGCATGAGAATTTCTTGCAAATATCTCAAAGCTACTTCTTTAAAAACATGAATTTCTCCATTTAGGATAAAACTGAGGAAATTCTAAATTGGTTTGCTGAAGGATTCTTTTCCTACCAAGGTGGAATAAATTTAGATTGATTCGTTTTTTGCAAAGCCAGAAAATATTTTTAGATTATAAGAATTTTTTTTTGATAAGGGTTTTAGTGATATAAATCTTACTAATTAACCCATGGCTGGGGGGAGAAGAGGTGGATTCATACTTTTCCCAAGGGTATTTGCAACGTAAGTGAATATAACAAACTCAACTGGAATTGAAACTTGGCACTCCGATTAACAATTCCAAGCCATTATCCATTATACCACCTGCACATCCAAGCTTTCAGCACCTAGAATTCTCAAGTGGTCACCCATCTAGGCACTGACCAGGCTTGACATTGCTTAACTTCAGTAATCGTATAGGAACCAGAGTTTTGATGTGATGTGGCCAGAATCATTGGAATAAATTTAGGTGTCAAGAAGGAATACTTAGAATCAGAAAGAGACATTTAAAATTTCTATCGCACATAATAAGGAAAGAGGGCTTAGAGAATTTGACACTCAAAGAAAATAAAGGGAAGAGAGACATAGAAAAGCAGTGAATAACCTACCTAACAATCTTGTGTAAATGTTTAGCTGAACAGAGATTAGGAAAGATAGCAAAAAGACAAACCTTACTACAAAAGACAGGAAGTTGTGGAAAGCCATGATCGTCCACTTCCTGGGGGGGGGGGCAGCACATAAAAGAAGAATTTGTCTGTTGATTTGGTTTAAGTAAATATAATTAGATATTAGTGAATAAATTGAGATATCTTTCCTTCTGTGAAACTCCAGTAAGGGAGATCACCCTTGGCAGCACATCGCCAAGTGGGAGGATTTGGATCAGCCCCTTATGTCTACGACGTCCCAAACGGGAAATGCTGTTGCAGACTAAACATTAACAATTTTTGTCACTAACTTCTGATTCACGTGGGAGGCGGGGGTATTAAACTGACCCTATGTCAAATTTCTTCTCTACTCACTCTGTTATACTATCGTTGACGTCGTTTCTTACAGACTCATAGTTTCATCATGAATGTTGCATTTCCAAACAAAATTTGTGAAAAATCGATACAATTAATTAAATTAATTATTTACAATGAAATGAATAACAATGTTTTATTTTTTTAAACTAAAGTGAACTAGGCAATTCCTTTTTCTTACTGAAAGCAAAAGATGTATTGTAAATAAAATAAAAAGTTTTTTCTCAACTATTTCGTAAGTTTACTTTAAATTTGATGAAAAAGCTTAATGAATGAAAAAATGGTTAAATTGGCTAAATAATAAAATAATAGTTGTTAATGTCGGTGGATTCCAAAAGTGAAAGTTACCTTCGTCAACAATTCATAAATTAAGTTTAGTCAAGTGTTTTATTATTTTTTATCCATACAATTAAATTTCATTGTGTAATGCAACGATTCAAAAGGAGTTGAAAACGTGAACGATATGCAATTACTTTGACTTCACTTCTTAATGAATAAGTGGGTGTTGACTTGGCTACGTAAATTCTAGACTCTACCCCCTAAAACTCAACTTCAACAAGAAGCTAAGCTAACTAACTAAAACTGGTAACAAGTATTTTTTTTTAATTTAAGTAGTGATCGTGTAGTGTACTGAATTGCCTTATCATTGAGAAATAGATTAGTTAGGAAACGAGAACTATTTTTATGTGAAATGTATTTTTTAATTAAATTAATTTTTAATTAAAATTATGTTATCGACAGAGTGGTGGTGCGCGTCAGTTCTTTTTTTATTACTTAAATGCAAATTTCAGTTTAGTTTTTGTTTTTTAATAGTAATAATAAAAACTTGTAGAAACCAAACAAAATAAAAATATAGAGAAAACAGAAGTTTTAAAAACAAAATAAACAAATAAAATCTAAGTAAGTTTTACTTTTAAAAGATCAAAAAAAGAAAAAAAAGAAAGCATAATGAATAAGTTATGTTTCTGTTTTTTACAGGGCAAGTGAGTTTCATGATATACTAACCCGCAACAGAGGTGTCACCCCAAAAACCACTTCCGCATCCAATTCTCACAGTTTTGGGATATTTCCCATTTCCCTGGTAGTGGTGGTTGAATTGTTTTGTCTCCCGAACAACACTTTTTAAATTCCTCAGAAACAAGCAGTGCCTGTTCCAGTTCAAATGTAAACAAATATTTTTCAATAATCTCATTGTTCTTTACCTTCAAATGAAAAAGAAAAATAATGTCATTTAACAATAAAACAAATAATAATAAAAAATGGTTTACAGAATTTTAGAGACTTATTTTCATTAAATTGCAAAGCTAGGAAAAATTAAAAAAATATTTTAAAGTTGAAGAGACTAAAAATCTACTCAATTATTTGCCAGATTTACTGGACACAATAAGACACTATTATTTTATTGCATAACTTTTAGTTAAAAATGCTCACTTTTTTCGGCAGTAATTGAAAAAAAAAGATAAATTTATCTAAACAAAATATGAACTATATGATTGGTTTTTCCTAGCAGAATGAAATGCGGTTGTTGACACGCGTCATATTTAAAGACCAAATATACATTAGGTCTTCAACAGAATGTCATACATAAATGTCAAAAACAGAAACTAAATTTAAAAATTTGAAAATAAATTAACCCTGAAAATATAAAAAATACAGACAATATTTATTTTATTATATTAAAACGGCCTCCTTAAATCTTTTTGGTTTCTGAAATAATATTTTAATGCATACTATCTCAGTAGTAGAATAAGAACATTAGTAAAATTAAAGCTAAGTATTCTTGTATTTTGAGTGTTGTCGCTATTATTATCATAACTAATATTATTATAATCATAATCATTTTACTAAATCAAGCACAGCTAGTTTATTCGAGTCAAGCACAGTTAGTTTATTCGAGTGAAGTACAATTAATTTTAAAGAGGAAGTGCGATATATTCAGTAGACAGATCTAATATAGCGGCCATCATGTACACGCATGCGCTCTGCATCATATAATGAGGCGACTTTGATGGAGATCAATATGCTATGGCAGTCTGGCAGATTGGGTAGAAAATGGATCTGCCTTTTCTCCTCTGGCTGGTCCTGGTCTTCGTTCACATTCTCCTAGTGCTGCTATCGCCGAAAAAGAAGAAGAAGCAACAGCTGTTTCTGTCGCAGACAAGCACACATTATCCACGGCCAAAGCAACTACTACTATCGTTCTTCCACTTCTTTCATCATCAACAATTAGAACGAGTGTATTCATATATTCTTGTTTTCTTTTACTGTCACTTTTTATTGCTCGCTACGCACTTTTTCACCATCGTTGATTTTATTCCTCTTTTCCCTGTGCTACTTGTTGTCTTATCTAGCATTTGGTGTATAACTAAACGCTGCAAGTAATATTGTATATAGACTTAACTAATTTCTCTTGCTGTGATGTCAAAAGTGATATTAAAAAATATAAAATTGACAGAACTTTTTGAAAGACCATTAAATTAGTGACTAACAGTCAGCTGTCTAGAGACTTGGCAGTGCTGATTGCAGCAAAACGAAACCTAAAAACTGGTTTCTTATTCTAAGACATAAAAAATTAAAAGCATGATAATACTCTCGAATTTGATCGATTTTTTTTATTCATTGAAATATATCAGTTTAGCATAAGTAGATAAGGTACTGTTGCATTTTTAAAAGAACATAAACCTTAACTTAAATTTAAAGAGCAATATTTGAGTAAACAAACGTAAAATAAACCTTTACATACGTTCGCATTTACTTGTTATCAATTGGAGAGGGAGAGAGAGAAATGGTCGATATATTTGTTCAATTAAAATAGTATACAAATGCTGTTTTTTCTTCATAATATTATAATTTTATTAATGATTTGATGAGATATATTTAAGAATTTTTATCCTTACATCATTTAATTTCATTTTAACACGTGAATACAGTTCATTGATTTTTTTTTGTTTTTTTTTTTGCTTATCTAACATCTACAATATACATTATATACGCTTATAGGAAATGAAATTTTCTTCATTTATGTAAGTGATTTATTAAAACATTTAACTTAAGTGTATATACACACACACACACATATATATATATCTACGTTTCTTCAGACATCCACATAAACAGCATACCTAGATAGTGGTTCGTTCTCTCTCTCTCTCTCTCTCTCTCTATCATGTAACCTAGTTTAGTGAGGGATAGGAGCAGTAAAATTTTTAACTGTCATTGTATCTCTTAGTGTGTGCTGCAGGCTAACCTAGCTAGGGTAGTCGCCCTGCACATTTAACTTGATCTTTTTCTCCCACCCCACCCTGTTCTTTTTAATATTATTTGTGAGGTTTTAAGTTAGAGGGAAAAAAAATAACAATCTATCTTCTCTCTTCACCACTGATCCCATCCACTCCCCCACCCGTTCTTAAACTCTCCCCAAAAAGTTAGGGGACAAAAAAAAAAAAAAAAAGACAGTTAAAATAAGAAAATATTTGCAGCACTGCCAGCCAACACTACCAAAAGTTATATTCAAGAAACAGCAGCTATGGATTCGGATTTGGGTGAGACGGTGTATGGGACCCAGGAGGAAGGACACGTTATGTCGGAGAAGGTGCAGTCGTTGGCAGCTAGCATCTACAAGGAGTTCGAACGAATGATCAAAAAATATGACGAGGACGTCGTGAAGGAGCTGATGCCATTAGTGGTCGGTATCCTGGAAAACTTAGACCTAGCCTTCTCGGAGAAGCAACAGATAGAGGTCGAAATCGAACTGTTGCGAGATGACAATGAACAGCTATTGACTCAGTACGAGAGGGAAAAACAGCTTAGAAAAGGCGCAGAACAGGTAAGCATAATAATCAATGATTATATTTATTATTATTATTTTTTAAATGTACTCTTAATGAATAATCTATACCCGATCACAAGTTTTGATTTTGATCTGGTGTCATTTTTTTTTATTTTTGTGATAATGACAAGTCTTTGACAAAAAGAGACCCTTTGTTTACGTTTTTTTATTTGCAAAAACTAAGATTGAATGAGATGTTTTGCTTTTGTCTGAAATGATGAGAGATTTATATTCCTGAATGACTTTCCGATATAATTATTCGTTAAAAAACCGCTTCAGTCGAATAGTCATAAACCTAAAAAACTGTATTTAAAAAAAATAGTTTATACTACAGTACACTTACAGTACACAGAAGAATCCATTTTGTCCTTAGATATGAAAAGATAGTGAAAAGTTCTGGGATCTGAAACATTTCTCAAAATATGAATTTATTTTATTTATTTTTTTTGTATCCCTTCTTGGTCATACGAAGAATTCGGCACCATGTCGTATTGTTCCATGATTCGTTTTTTGTCGTCATATCTTGTTTGCTTCTCATCATTTTTACACTTGGTGAAAAAACGGTAACAATGAGTATCGGCAACTGTTTTACAGAAAAAAATTAATTAACAGTGATTAAAAAAAAAAAAAAAAAAAATGATTATATATTTTTTTAGTTCTATAATTGTTTCTAATTGTTTAACATTTTAATTGCGATCTTTGAATTATTTTGTGAGTGTTTTCTTGATCTTTGTAGAAGTTACAATATGGCAGTTTGAGGAAGACGGAATAATTTGAATAATAAATTTTACATTTATAAAAAGATTGACGCCTAAATATTCTGATCTCTGAAAATGTCTATTTATTTTTTGTTTTTGTTTTTACAATTGATGAACAGTAACACTGATTTGGTGTGTTATACTCCACGTCATATGGATGGAGATTAAATGCCATACCCGGACAAACAAAATGACTTCGCCTCTCGACATCGTTCTTCGTTTTAGAGAGAGAGAGAAAAAAAAAAAAAAAAAAAAAACTCTAATAAAAATCTGCTTCTTACTCTTACACCAAACTTGAAGTTTTTCATTCGTCACAGCGATTATCCTTAAACTCTATCTTCTTTTTCATAAAAGCCTCTCCCACTTTTTATCACGTGTAGCTCAGAAATGTTTCGTAAGAAGAATAACTGCTATTTTTTTTCTTTAGGTGTGTAACTTGCTTTTGTACTTCAATAGACATAGTTTTTAAATGCTTATTTTTGACGAAGATTTACTCAATAAAAATGTTCAGTTTCAAGCTTGCCTAAGGATTTTTTCTTTGTGAGGAGTACCATTGTTTTTTTTAACTACTGGTATTTTTAATTTATGAATCTTAGTAAAAATGAAAGTTAATTTTTTAAAGAATACAAACTAGTATTTTTCTTCCTTTGACCATTTCTGCAATAATAAAACTTATAGATACCAAAGACGGTTTTTATCCCAGAAATGGTAAAACTAAAAGGGAGAGGTATCCTCTACTTACAGCTGTCCACTAAAGCACAACAACAAAAAATAAAACTTACTTTTTTTTCCTAAGTTTCCCTAAGTTCCGTCATAGTCCTTATTAAACACACTTTCTCTTTTTTATCTTAAATGGTAGATTTTTCTTCTGTAAAAGTGGAAAGTTTTGCTGTAGATATGTTAAATCCTGATGACATTGAAATCCGAAAAAAATACATAGATTTTTTTTTCTTTTTGTAAAATGAGGCAATACGAAATAGCTGTTTTGACATTGCAAGGTGAAAAAAAAATCATTGATACTTGAAAGGTTTTCAATCGTGCAAGTCAGTTACCGAGCCGGTCCAGCATTTTTGTCGCATGCTTGCGCATTCCTTAAGTCACTGAAGCGTCAATAAAATATGTAAGCACCCTAATTTCCTTTATCCTTTATCGTAGGTACTGTCTTATTTTCCCTTTTTTATAGCTTTTCGGGTTAAATGAAATTAAAACTTATCGATCTATTTAAAAAAAAAATCGGTGGTTCAGCAGTTGATCGATTTGATTTGCATGATCGAAAAAAAAAAACCCCCAAAAATAAATTTTTCTTCTTTCCAACTATCGTTTCATAAAACATCCTGGAAAACAATGACGTATTTATTTTGTTTTTCAAATCAAATTTTCGGCGAGGATGGTCATTTTTTTTTATTTTTGTTTAATTAAAAAACAACAACAATAAAAAAGCAAAACAAACAATTTTCTGGTCATTGATCATTTATTTACTTGATAATTAAAAAAAATAAATCATGGCCCCTTGACTCCAGAATGTAATTTTAAAAAGGGAAAGTCAATTGGATTCGGAATTTCCGTTATACATTTTTTGTGACTAAAATTTTTGTTTATTCAACATCTTATTTCTTTCTCTATTCAATAATTAATACATAGATAACATTGTTTATGATAAATAAAATGGTTTACAAGTTCGACTGAACGTTGTTGTTCTTTCTCAGCTAAGTCGAAAATCAGATCTATTCATCACAAGGTGATACCTTTTATTTTTAACTGGGAGACAAAATTATTTTGTTGGTAGTATTGACTATTTTCCCTTTTTGTTATAAATTTATTTTTACCAGTACAAACAGGGAAATGTGCGACCCCCGATTTTTTTAAAACTAGAAGCATGTTGAATGTCTTTGTTTTTCTTCTCTTTTGTAATTATTACCAATAATTCATTAATTTAAAGTACAACTACTTTCTAAAATATCATTTCTAAAAGTGATGACAGATCACTTCAATGAATTGAGACCATGTTTTTAAAATCCGCGTATCTTAGCATCTCTAGCTGACAACAACCTGTTCCAAACTGGCATTCATTTTTTTGTAAAGGGCCTCTTGCTAAAACTGGTTACAATAAAACTGCTTTCCAAACTATATATCGCTAGACATTTTAAAGGAATACATGCAATGATCTATATGGCTTTGGTGGCAATGCATATAAAAATATTTCATTTGTGAAAAATAATTGTAGACTTTAATAATGAAATGAATTGTATTCCTTATTTCTTCCCCTTAGTCTGCTTAAGGCAAAATAATGTTCAATTGACAAAACTTAGAAAAGGGAGAATGTTTAAATTTTTATTCCAGGGAATGTAAAACAATCTATCATTTTAACTAAAAATAACTTGAAATAATACAATGCATAAGTAAATTTCTTTAATATAATTAGAAATGTATAGCATTGTTCATTTAAAACAATTTTAAGCCCAGCATTTAAACTGTACACAATAAAACTTTTGAACTCATTATCCAATGTTTAGTTTACAAAGATAACTAACTTTAAATAAAATTGAGAATTACCCGATTGGAAAAATAGATTTTAAAATCTCTTCATAAATTTGAGTCACATAAAATAGTAGATCAATTGTCAGTTTGTATGTCATTTTAAAACCTTGTGCTATTATTTTTTTTTAATTGACTTATTAGTCCAGCTTATTTGAGAAAGTGTTCCCAAATCTAGCAACTCTGGGACAAAATGTATGGAATAGTGGGCCAGATCTAAAGATAGTGTATATTTTGTGAAAAAAAAATGCAAGTTGTATATTTTTTCCCTCCAATTAAAAGTAAATTGTGATTATATCAGTTTTTTAATGTAATAGCATTGGTTTATTTAATTTTTTTTTCTCCTTTTTATTTTTTATTTAATTTTTTACTGTTATTGGTTAATATAGCATGAAACCTTTGTCTTTAGTTGCATTTGTAGGCCTTGTTTCTATATAAACAAAGGCCAAATATCAAAGAGATGATGCATGATAGGATCCACATCACTAATAACCCATTGATGACAAGCCAATCATAAAGCTTCATCCTTTATGCAGTGCTGAAGTCAAAATGGAAATAATTATTCCTTTTATCTGTTAGGTTCTTATGTATTCATATCCATACTGACTCTGAAATTGTTTTTGAAGATTATTGAAGAATTTAACTATTTAAAGATGTAAAAGATAAACTTTTGTAAATTTTCATAATCGTATAAGTATATAGTTTCTTGTAGGAAATTTTAAAAGTACTTAATCTTTTTAGATGATTATAAAACAAATGTTGTGTTTGTCTTATGAAAATAAAATAAAACTATGCCCCATATTGTTTTTCTTCTTATTTTCTTAATCAGATTTTAATAAAATCATTACTCATCTTGGAAATTGTGATTTTGGGATAAGTTTTGTAAAATGAATCAGAATTTGAAAAAGTAATTACAAGTTTTTATCAAAAATATTTCTTATAAATTTTAACTCCTAAATAAAATGTGTGAGAGTTTAAGTGACAAATATTGATATATAAAATAAGTTTACTTAGAATCCATAACAGACTGGATGATAAAATTAAGTGTTTAATGGAAATGATTTTATATAATATTTTTCTTACTGACAGAAATAGTTCAATAAAGTTGAGTTTAGTGGACACTAATAAGTGTGAATTTTGCTTATGTATACTAAATTCAAATGCAATTATGATTTTTATTCTTTCCCATTTAACACCAGAACTTAAAAATTTACTCAAAACTATGAAAAAATGATTTAATTTGAATTATTTTTTTTAACTTACTTTCACTGTTTATATTAAAATAGATTTTTTTTTTCTTTAAAGAAAAATAACTTCATTTTAACACAATATCTGAGGTTTTTTTTAACATGTACCCTTTATTTTATGCTAACAGTAACACATATCTTTAACTGCAGAACTTAATACTTTTCTTTATACATACATGTAAAGATGGTTAGAAAAATTGTTTAGTGGAAAGGATAAGCAATAAAATCACTTGATAGAGGAATATTTTTTAAAGAACGGTTTTGACAAATATACATTTTATAGACTTAAAAAAAATGTAGGTGAGATAATTTGAAAATATCTTACTAAACAGAATTATTTGCAGGCCTTAACACAGATATGCAGTATTTTTGTATTTTTGTAATATCATTAATAGTGTTATGCAAAATCACTTTTTTATTTGTATATGGTAATAAAATTGAAATGCCAGAATTTAAT